GTAGCAGAGGTATGACGTGACACCCAGGTGGCTCCCGGCGGCCGTGCCCAGGGTGCAGAGTCCAAAGGTAGAGAGGGTGAGCTGGTCAGGTCACCACAGGCAGCGCGGCCAAGGCCAGACCGAAGGGCCTGTCACTATTTCTTCCTGAAGGTGGAGGCGTCCGGCAGAGCTCGGGCGGGCAAAGCGGGGGCCGCCGGGGGGTCACCAGGAGACTCAGGCCAGAAGCAGGAGGACACGCGTGTCGGCTCGCCTTTCAGCCCCCAGCTCTGGTTCCGAGTTGATCGAAATAGACCGCGTAGAATACAAAAACAGAAAGTCCAAATAAAGAAGAGACACAGAGGGGATGGGTGGGTGAAACCCAAAACATCTCTCCATCGGCAAACGTCTGCGCGTCGCCGTGAGGCTGTTTTTGTCTGCGCGGCCCCGCGGGCGGGCAGCCAGGGGAAAGGGTGTGTGTAAGAATCGGCCGCGGAAGCTGGGTCTGCCTGCCTTCCCGGGACGCCGCGGGATTCGAAGCCATGCTTCCAGCTATAAATAGCCCCGCAAGAAAAATAGCTTCCCGAGAATCCAAAGGATTCTAGACCGGCAGATCCCATATGTTTTTGAGCGTGGTTTGGAGTAAACACATTTTCTAATCCTAACCCCGCGCGTGCACACGCACACAGCCCAGATTGCGTTTGCACAAAACCGTACTGGCTCCAGCTCTGCGCTGCGCCATTTGGTCTTTTCCTCTGCCGTCGCATCATTTTGTAAAATGCTGGCCACTGGCCTTCTAGGTGGGTGTCACGGATGGGTCCCAGTCCACAGTTGGAAAGGCGTCGTTCTAGACTCCAATTTCCCGCCTCCGTCTCTATTGGGATCGTTGCGTCTGGAACTAAAGGGTCTTGGATACAACCAGTCTCCACCGCTTGGTGGCAGAGGGTCACCAGATGTGCAGGCCCCAGGCCTGTACGGCCACCGAAAGGGTCTTCGGGTCCAGCCAGGAGCCCCCCGGCGGGCCAAGCGAAAAGCAGGAGTTTGAGAAGCCTAGCGGGTCACCACACGGGTCCAGGGCTGGGCTGACAAGATCAGGAGCCAGGGCCAGGGAGTGAGGGGGCAGAGGGGAGGCTGGATGGGGTGATAATGGGGTGTTGGCAGTGGTGCAGCCGGGGCTGTTTCCCAGGCTTCAGCCTCAGAGTCACGGGGGGACCTGGTGACCCGATCTGGCCTCTCCCACCCAGTCGGGGACAGTGTTGGGAAAAATGTACCATTGTCAAAATCCGAACAGTGCCTTTGGGAGAAGCCACCTGAAAACTTTGAGTGGGTTGTGTTGGTGACTCAGGGTGGTCCTCACACCCTGGAGGTCTTCCTGTAGGAGGAAGCCTTGAATGGTGCCTTCAAAACAGACAGGATGCTGGAGGCGAGGGACTTTGCAGAAGTCCTGTTCGGGCCCCAGACAAATGCCTGGCACCGCCCTTAGGACAGGCAGAGGTCACTCATTACCTGGTGGGGACTCCAACGGGGAAGCTTACGCTCAGAGAGAGGAAGTGACTGGACCACTCTGGCTAGAAGAGAGTCAGACGGCGACAGGAGAGAGGGCATGAAGCCATGACCTCCCGTCGGCCACAGCTCCATCTCGGAGAACTCGAGAGGTGGCGGGGAAGGAGGCCTGGAAACAGGACCGAAGCCGGACAGAGCTGGGCCGTGAGGAGCCCCACAGAGGGGAGCTCGTTGCTGGCCAGGGACATCCGAGAAGGCTCCCGGACGGAGGGGCCTTGCGCTAAGGTTTCAGGGCGCGAGGGGCAGGAGCGCTTAGACACTGCGGGTGCGTGGCAGGCGCTGTCAGCAGAGCAGGGCGGAAGGCTGGCCGAGGAGGCTGAGCGTCGTCCCCACCTCTGTCCCCAGATGAGTGTGGCATCGTGGCCCAGATCTCCGAGCCCCTGGCTGCCGCAGACATCCCCGCCTACTACATCAGTACTTTCAAGTTCGACCACGCGCTGGTGAGTGTCAAGGGCGAGGGGGCGAGGGATGCCAGTCCGGGGCTCGTGGCTACTTGCCCCCCCTTCCTGCCCCCTGCAGGTACCAGAAGAAAACATCAACGCCGTCATCGGCGCCCTGAAAGTCAGCCAAGCAGAGAAGCATTAGGAGGGCCTCTTCCACTCCTCCCTGTCTGCCCCCCCAGGCCTGGGCCAGGCCCCTCCCCCGAAGACTCTTCTCACAGTATTTCTCACGGACTGGAAAATCGGCCCCGGGGGCCCCCAAGACAGGGCCTCAGGGAGACACCCCCTGATTGCTCACCCTGCCGGGCCTGGGGCCCAAGCCAAGGCCTCCCCATGCCCTCCTGCCTTCCTGGAGCCCCCAGACCCTCCAGAGAACCCCCCCTCCCCCCAGCCGCTCCTCCTCCCCACCACCCCTACTCCAGAAAATGATGTCTGAGGCCCAGGGAGTTTGCGAGCCGACCGGCCTTCCCCTCTGGCCTGGCCCACGGCGGGGGGGGCAGATGCCGAAGGAAGCAGACCTCCCTCCTACGAGACAATGGGGTTCTGACTCTCGCGTCATCCTGGGGAGCCAGCCGAGCGGAGCCGAGTTCATGGAGACCGGGGAGACCCCCGTGAGGACCTGAGGCTGGATGTTGTGGCCGCTGGTCTCCCGTTCCGTCAGCTCCGGGCTGGTTCCCGCAGAGTAGAGGCCAGTGGGCGGCCCTCGGGTCACGCGCTGGGGAGGCTCCGACAAGCAGGGGTGGGGCCCTGATCTGGGGAGGACCCAGGCCACCCAGAATTTCACCTGCCATCCACAGGGCCCGCGCCCCGACTCCCAGCAAGACTGCCAAGGGGGCCCTGTCCACACCCTCCCCGCCATAAACACTCACTCCTGGGGGCGGTTCCCAGGAGACCCACCAGCCTGGGGCACGAGCTCCTGTCCCCGCTGCTTTCCCTGGACCCTCCTTGGGCAGGCGGAGCCTTGGTTTCCCCGAAGCGGGGGGCATCCCCAGCATTTTGGACCTGGGGTTTCTTGGGTCACCCCCACTCCCCAGCAGTCGACTAGACCAGCACAGGGCTCCCCGTTATCCTGCCCCCTCCCCTGCCCCACTTTTGGGGGGATGTGGAAGGCCTCTGCCCCCAACTCACCTGCCTGCCCGCCCCTCAGCTGGGGCCTGTGGCATTCATGAGTACTTGACCTGGGGGGGCAGCTTATCTGAGCCTTAATAGAGAAAACCATACAGTACGTTTTAGTTTCTTATTTAATGTATTCGCGCCCAGGCTGTGGTCGGCGGCAGTTTCAGGGGACAGGGGACGACGCCTGCTGAGTTCTCTTGGGGGACCCAGAGGCTCAGGGTCCTTTGGCCGACGCCCTGTGGCTCCAGGGACAAGCGTGGGAGTCTGTAGGCGTCACAGAGGTATTAGCCCTTTCTCTGGAGCAGGAAGCCGGCAGCAGAGGTGTGTGGCGAGATAGGGGTTCCCGCGGGGTGCCCAGAGGCCACGGGGCAGGGGACAGCCAGGTGGCAGGCCGACCAGGGCAAATGGGGGTGAGCCCCAAGGCGGCCCCTCCCTCCCTGGTGCTCCTTCTCAGGCGACAGCTGCCTTGCGCTGTCCCTGAGAGGCTCAGAGGAGAAAGGAGGGTCTCTCTGGTGAAGGGCTTGTGTGAGCCCCACTGCCCTGTTCTCCCAGCGTCGGGGGACCCTCTGAGCCCGGGACGCCCACCAGATCCTTAAAGATGCTCGGGGCCCAAGCACTGATGAGGAACCCACTTTTTTTTTTTTTTTTAAGTTCATTCATGTTGCACAAAACTCTTAAAACAACCAAAACGTGTCCATCTGTTTGCTGGCTCCAAAACGGGGTGGGGGGTGGCCGAGCAGGCAGGAAAGCACCTGAGACCCCGAGTCCCCTTTCTCTCCTTGGAAGGTCTTGATTCTCCGTGGCGCGCCTCTCCAGACTCCTTCCCCGTCGGGTCCCCTGATGATGTCACTCCTCCACGCTCCCCCCAACCCCCACCCCGCCGAGCAAATGTGTCGGCCCCGTGACCCCGGAAACGTGTGCTCCCCAGGCCCCCCCCCCAGGACGTATCTATTGTACACACTTATAAATACCTGTGTTTTATGTTGATATAGATATATACTGTAAATAGCATATATACTTGAGCAATATATATGTTAATATATACTGTGTGAGCACACACGCGTGTGTGCACAGTACGTGGATCACAGACCCCGCTGTGTGTGCACGTGTGTGGGCGTGGGGGCCTCCTGCCGCCGCGTCTGCCGTGCACGCGGGCACGTTTTGAGCCACCATATATTTTTAATTCAAGTATATAGGCAATACATTATTCGAGAAGCCCTGACTTGAGAGGGAAAAAAAAACCAGCAGCCCAGGAGCGGAGTCCCAAGACTCCCTCCCCCAGTCTCCCTTGGAAGCTGGATTCAGCCCCTGCCTGCACCCCCGTTTCCATGGTCAAGGCCCCCCGGGCACCCTTGTTTTATCTGGGGGACGGTGGTATGGAGGGAGGAGTGTTGGAATTTCTCGCTCTTGAGCAGAAAGGCCCTGTGACCGTTGCTCTTTGCCCAAAGACCTGGGCAGGTAGGTGGTCCCGCCCTGCTTTCCAGCCTGGGCCCCCCTCCCCTCCCCTCCCCTCCCCTTCCCTTCCCCCTGGCTGACTGCTTACCTGGTCCTTTTCACCGGCAAGCTGAGAAACTTCGGCTTCTTTTCTCAGGCCTCTTCCTGGACCCTGGCCCCGTCTAGTCAACAAAAGGACCGAGGCCCTTGACCTTGTGTCCAGGGGGGGCTGGGGCGAGGGCTGGGCTCTCCAGCCACTTGGGTGTGTGGGCGGCCGTCTGGGCCTGGGCCCCGAGCTGCCGTCTGGATCTTCCCGTTCCCTGGGCTCCCCTCTTGCTGTGCCCGTGACGAGCATAGTCAGGGATTTGGTCTCCATGGCAGTTTGGGAGGGAACAGTGCCCCACGTTTGCTGGGTGTGGGGGGGCTCTCCAGACCCACCAGAGTGGCCTGAGGGATGTGCCATCGGGGCGGAGGGTATCTTGGCTCTGGCCGGTGGGGCACATGGCAGGGGCAGGAAAACAGGGCTCCTGAGTGAGGCTGCCGAAAGGTAGGGGTGAGTGGTGGCCCCAACCTGCCTCCTGGGCTCCGGGTGTGTATGTCTTTGCCTCTTTGCCGCTCCGTGGTAAGAAAAGCTTGCACCAGCTTAAGGCCACCCTCACCCCTCTCCTGCCCCATCCCTGCACACTAAAGAGAGGAGGCGGGGAGACAGGAAGGCACGACCACCCCCTTCTCCCTCACTCCCGCTTACAAAAGTCTCTGTGGCTCAACCCTCAGCATGGGCTCCTCTGGTTTCCAAGAAACGCCTTCCTCCCTCTGCACCCCTTCCTCCGTGGCGGGCTCCAGAGCCCAGGGCACACATCCAAGCTGGAGAGGTGTGCAGACTTCCCCTCCCCAGGATTTGGGGGGTCCAGAGCGTCCCGAGCACCAGCATCCTCCCCCTGCCACCCACCCCAGGCCACAGGCCCCTGGTGGGCAGGAAAGGAGCCAGGTGACCCAGAGCTGCCCGCCATGGCCTCCCCCATCAGACAGCGTGGCCCTGGTGACCAGCGTGGTGTCCAGAAGAAGATGCGTGGTCTGGCGAAGCTTGTCCCCTGTGAGGTGACAGAGGACGGCAGAGAAGGTTCTGGGGTGATGGGTAGGGTGAGGCCCCTATCCGAAGCCAAGGGCACCATTTGCCTGATAGTCAAAGATGAGGCTGTTAGAGGAGTCTTGTGGCCACCCTAGGCTGCCTTTCTGGGCCTCTGGACTGGACTTGGGGACAACTTGGGTTCCCAGCCAGGGTTAAGAGGGACCTTGAGGACCTCTCAAATGATAGCCAAGCACTCCTGTGCTCTGTGACCTAGAAATGTTTGGTACCACTTCCTGAGTGAACACTGAGTAGGGGGTAGGAAGAAACCCCCCAATATGTCCATGCCCCGCTGTGAGCCAGGAGCAGCCCGTCACGGCTGTCACAGACGCTGGGAAATGGACCTGTTGTGTGGCTGGCTTGGTGAGCAGAGCTTGAGGGGCAAGGATAACGGAGCCTCCCCCCTCAACCCCAAAGACCAGAGCTTTGGCTTCTCAGGTTTCCCAGACGCTATGCTGAGGGAGGTGCTGGGCCTGGAGGGGGCGGTAGCCCTCCCTACAAAGAGGCCGCCAGAGGGGAGCCAACCAAGATGGCCGCTTGGTGGTCAACCCAGCAGAGGGCGGGCTTGGGGAGAGAGGCCCGGGTTGAGGGCAGTTGACTCCTGCGCTAGCTAGTCCCTTTTCCTGTATCTCAGAGCCCATCCCAGCTCTTTTTCTTTCTTTCATTTTCAAAGTAGAGGTAACAGAAAGGCAAGCTTAACTGTCTCTTACTCCTTGGACCCTGGGGAGAAAGCCACAGGGTGGGCCATGGCCTTCAGCGTTGACATCCACGACCTCCTGTGAAGCCTGCTCTCTTGAGAAGGCGAAGGCAAGGCGGGAGCTGTTGGCTGAGGCAGCCTGCCATCCTTGGGGCCGATGGTGCCAGGAGTGGCCCGGGTCAGAGGGAGACAGAAGCCTGTGGCCTGGACCGCGGCATCCGTGGTGGGGAGGGCGTTTGAGGCTCTCGGAACAAGGTGGGGAACAGCTGGGAGTCGGGACAGTGTCGTGAGTTCGGCCGCGTGTGTGTGTACATATACGTGGGAGTGTGCACGTGTCCTACACATCAGCGTGTGTGCAAAGCCCACATCCGAGCCAAGGGCCTGGCTCGTTCAGTATTTTGAGGCCTCAAGGGCATTCTTACCCGGGGGCTGCCTGTAGAGTTGATAGGGTGTGGGGGACAGGGATGTCCCCAGCAGGGGCTCTGCTGTGCCCCACAGACGCCTGGCGGCCCACGCAGCCCATGCGGCCAGCCCCAAGGGGCTAGACCTGCCGGGCCAGCTCCTCAGGAGCGCCCAGCCCTGAAGACAGTATTCACGGGGAGACGGGTAGGGTGCGGTGCCCCTTGCCTACCGGGGGCTCGTCTGCAAAGAGCGTCCAGTGAAGTCGGGGACCAGGGTGGGGAGTGCGGTTGGTGGTGGATGAAAAACGGGCCAAATTCATGTCCCAAGACCGAGGTCAAGCCCAGTGCGTTTTCCCGTCCTCTGCCTCAGT